TCCTTCCTGGGTGTCCCTGCCAGGCTTTGGTGCTATGAGGGTGCTGGAGTGGGATGCCTGGTAAGAGGCTGCCCCCCAGTACTGGGTGTCACAGTTCTGGCAGCCAGGTGTGGATGCTGTGCAGATGCACCGAGACCCCCACAGCTGCAGGAATTTATCTTCGGTCACACGTGAGCCGTGTTCGCATATGAGGGGGTGCTCCAGGAACACTAGGGTTCTGTGGCCAGTCTCAGGGTGTCAGGGTTGGCACTCAAGGTTTTAGCTGGTGGGGCATGGATCAGCCTCACAATACTTTCAGAACCAACTTGGTACAGATAGGAATGAGTAAGCTCAGTGTGGGGCTGTGTTGTGGTGTTTAGGCAGATCCTTTCCTTTCCTCTCTGATTTACCCTTCCTCTCCCTCAGTTGGTAGTTGAAGAAGGTTGGAAGGTTGAAGGGGGTCCCTGGGGATGAGCAGCCCCTCATCTGGTGGTCTGCCTAGCTCGTGCGCTCTGCCTTGTCACCCTGTCCCAGCTTCCCTGCCTCCTATCTCAGCAAGTCTAGGGTGCTTGACAAACCCAGACCTTCCTATAAAGTACTGGGGCAACCTGTACCCCAACTCTCCCTCCAGAAAATCTGATGGGAAGGCAGTTTTCCTGAAAAAGGCCGATTCAGGGCTTTCCCTCTGTGTAAGGGGCTGGCCGAGTTGTCACTGGGTCTGGAAGGGATTTATGTGGGAGTAAAGTAGCTTTGTGGGTCTGGGGCAGGAGTGGCTATAATGAGATTGACACGAAGTACTGGCTTTTCTAGATTATAAATGATGGGGCAGGGCAAGGCTGGCACTGGGGGAGGGCAGATGGGCTTGTTTCCACTGAGGAAGTAAGGTGGCAGCAACTCCTGGAAATGGCAGGCCTCCCTTTCTCCATTGTCTGTCACAAAGGCACGAAGTCCTTTTCAGCACATTCTTCCTGACCAGTTTCGGTGCATTCAAGGTGACAGATGTAAACAAATGGTTACTATACTATGTATAGACCACAATAGAGATGTGTGCGGAGTGCTCCTTTAGTAGAATTATGTATCAATATAAAATGTTAGAGGATTAGAGCATGATGAATAACTTTTAAAATTTGGCTGTTTTTACATGTACTACTAGATATTAATACTACTTTTGTTTTCAGTCATTACTTTTAACAAAACAACATGGCAGTAAGAACCACTTGGGTGTAGGAAATTGGGGATTTACAGAAGGGATGACATTTGATTTGGGTCTTGAGGGTTGTATAGGAGTTTATCATGTAGATGAAGATAAGGAAGAATGCCACAGAGAATAGCTCAGAGACATTAAAATTAAAGATTGAGGGGTGTCTGTTGTTGTTAGGTGCTGTCAGTTGATTTTAATTCATGGCAGCCCCATGTGATAGAGTAGAACTGTCCCATAGGGTTTTCTTGGCTATAATTTTTATGGAAAAAGTTTGCCACATCTTTCTTCCACAGAGCTGCTGGGTGGGTTCGAACCACCAGCCTTTAAATTAGCAGGCAAGCACTTAACCATTTGTACCACCAGGGCTCTTTAGGGTGTCTAGAGAAGGATAGGTATTTGACTTAGTTGGAACATTGGGACATGTGAAAGGAACAGTAAGAGATAGAGGTAGGAAAGTTGGTAAGGAGTGGACCCTGAAGGACTTTGTGTGCCAGTAGGGGATTTGGCTCAGTGAAGAGTTACAGAGGGAGTAAGCAGGGGCGGGACTTAATGTCTGTGTTCAGATGACAATAATAACAGGCGGCTATGTACCAGGTGCTGTGCTAAGTGTGCTGTTCATTCTGTCATTGATTTTTCACAACAAGAGGTACTGTTTATCCCCATTTTACAGATGAGGAAACTGAGGCTTAGATGTTGTTGTAGTTCTCTAGTACCACTATAACAGAAATACCACAAATGTGTGGCTTTACCAAACAAATTTATTTTCTCACAGTTTAGGAGGCTAGGAGTCCAAATTCAGGGTGCTGGGTCCAGGGGAAGGCTTTCTTTCTCTGTCAACTGTGGGGGAAGGTTCTTGTCTCTTCAGCTTGTTTCCTGGTTCCGTGGAAAGCTCCGTGTTTCCTGCCATCTATTTTACTTCATCTCTCTTTGCTAGTTTCGATTAATCTCTTTTGTATCTCGAAAGAGATTGACTCAAAGTACACCCTAAACTAATCCTACCTCATTAACATAGCAAAGACAACACATTACCAAAGGGGATTATAACCACAGGCATAGAGGTTGGGGTTTACAACGTATTTTGGGGGGGATGAAATTCAAAGATTGTCCGACTAGAAAGTGATGGAGCCAGGATGTCAGCCCAAGTGTACCTGACTCCTAAACCCCATGGTGTTGATGGAAGGAATGATTAGGAGGTAGAAAGAAGCAATATGATTTTGTAGCCTGCCAGGGTGGGAAGGTAGAGGAAGGAAGAGGAGTCACCATTGAGGGACCAGGGGTAAGATTTCTCGGTGGAAACAAGCCCAGCTGCCCTCCTCCAGTCCCGGCCTTGCACTGCCCCATCATTTATAATCATTAGTGAGTGATGTTTTCAGCCAGGATACAGGAACACAGATTAGCAAGTTTCAAGGGGGCAATGATGAGCTTAGTGTGGGCATGCCAAATTTAGGGTACCCATGTATATTCCCCTGTGGAGGAAGACGCACCGAGCCATCAGTGCATGGTGGTAATTAGAGCTCTGAGAACGGGTCACTCCCAGGGAGCAGAGCATCTACTGAGAAGAGAAGGAAGGCATTGGAAAGTCTTAGGAAAGACTAAGCCGGTTAAAGGGGGAGGGTGAAAAGGCTTCAAGGCCTGATTTTGGGCCTGTGGGCCCAGCACTTCTGGCAGATACAGCCTCAGCCTTGCCTGCCCAGGACCTCACTGCCATGCTGCCTTGGAAGGGAGTGAGCCCCTTGTGTTCTGGAGCTAGAAAGGGTGTGGGCAGCATGGTGTGCTCTGAATCACCACCTCTTCTCTTCCTGGCTCCTGGTCAGCCTCCTCCCCCCAGCCATGTGATGTCAGACCCAGGCTGACCTGGAGGTGTGGGGTAGCCCTGTGCATTCCGCAGTTCCCGCTGGGATGTGGTCCCAGGGGGACCTGCCTGGTCTTGGCCCAGAAGCATGAGTCCTATGAACCGAGGGGTGAGTTGAAGCTGATGGGGCTTGGTGGGGGTGTATGGAGGCAAGGTCCTTTGTTTAGGGGAGATACTGTAAGCCCCCTCTTCCTCCCAATATGTTGTTTTTCCCCCAGGGCTTGGAGAAGAGGGAGGCAAAGGTGGTGAGGGGTCAGCTTGGTGGTATGTTTGGAATATTCCTGAGAATATGGTAGGTTGTTTTAGAAAAATCCTTTTGGCTGGAAATGGCATGTCATGTCTTCCCCTCAGTATGAATCTGTCACTTTACTGATGCTGTTGGAGAGGCTGAACAGAGGGGAGTGGACAATGAAGGTGGGCTGGTTCCCAGCCACTCTTTGTTCCCTCTAGCTAAATCATGTGCAGAGATAAGGGGTGGGGGAGCAAGATAGAGGGGTGCCCATGTGGGGCAGATCCTCCAAATCCTAGAGGTAGTTTGGATCCTGTGGATATCTCACAGCAGCGTGATACTAGGAGACAGTAGGTTTATGGGGGAGAAGGAGGCAGGGAGAAAGCAGGAAGGAGACTGGTTTGGATCAGACCCTTCAACCAGGGGAAGAAGGAATGGGCCAGGCTTTTTCAGCTTTGTTCTCTCACAGCCTCCTGACTTTGGGTTCTTGCAGCTGTTCCCCAAACTAGTTGTTGCCATAGGTGTGATGTGTAAGATGCAAAGGACCCCTGGCCTGGCAGAGTCATTTCCCCTCCCCAGCACACTTGGAGGTAGGGAAGAGGTTCTTGTGAGGATGGTGAGTCTTTTTGGGAATTTGCCCAGTGCCCACCTGAGATCTCTTTCCCCAGCTTTGAGGCTGAGTGGGGGGTAGTAGCATCGTTTTCCTGGCCCTAATCCCTGAAGGGGTGAGGTTACCTGAGCTCAACCTTTAATACCGGGTGCTAAGGAGTCAGTGGATACTTCAGATACCAGGGAAATGAGAGGGTGTGTGTTGTGGCACCTTGAGGCCCTCAGGGCTGGAAGGAGAGGAGGAGCCTCCCTGCAGTGGGAATTCCTCCACTGGCAATAGCTTCATCCCAGTGCTGGGTAGGGGAGCACGTGGAGGTGACGTGAGCCCTGCGTGGGCACATGTTGGAGCAGTTCCTCCAACAGGGAGTCACTCCTCCGAGGTCAGGGAAGGCAGCCCTAGTACTCTGGCCCTGCCTGAGCTCCCAGTGCACAGCCCTTGGCTGTATTGTGAGGTGGAGGCTGAGGTGCGGTGCTGGGTTCTGTCTCCCTGCCGGTGCGGGGAGGCGTGGCTTGCTGGCTTGTATGCAGGGGCGAGGAGTGGGCTGGGGAGGGGAGGCTGGCTCCCTTGACGGGAGGCTTAGAGCAGGCTGCCTGTGAGCAAGCAGATGGCAGCCTGGGAGGTGGGAGCATTTTGGGGGCAAAGTGTAAGCAGGGGGCAGGTAGAGAGATAGACTTCAAGCCCTGGCTTGTCTAGAAGGAGGGGTCTTAGGCTGAATCAGCAGTGATTTCTGTTTTCTGCACTTCTTGGATGGGACCCTGTTACCTTGGAATATCTGGGAGGAGGAGCTTTAATCCCCGAGGACCTGATTGGCAGCTCTGGAGCTCTGGGGTCCTGGAGGCAGCTGAGCAACTAGAGGGGGCTGTGACTCCCATGCCAGTGAAGGGAGAGCCACGAGCACCTGATGCCGTGGAGCTCAGCCTGCAGCTAGCACAGCCCCCAGGGAAGGGGGAAGAGGCCTGCGGCTCAGTGGAATGGAGGCTAGGAGCAGGTTTGGAGGAGGGGATAGCCGCACACTCAGCAGGGAAGAGATCGCCATGGCTGTCAGCCAGCTGAGGACAGTAGGTGGTGGCATGTGCTCTGGAAGGTGAGGAGTGGGGGTAAAGATGGGGGAGATGTGGATGGCCTTAGGCGCTTCTGCAGCCCCTGCCCTTTTGGAGAGGATGCTAAGGCCCAGCCCCTCAGGACGCAGGGCAGTGACGCTGCCAGTGCCGGTAGCGCTGGAGGGGCGGGGGCTGAGTCAGGCTCTGCTCCCCTCCCTGGTCCTGACGCCGGCAGTTTGGCTCCATGGGGGAAAGATCTGCTTACCAGCGCCTGGCTGGGAATGAGGAGGGCCAGCAGGTAATGGGGGAAAGCTGGGGGATAACCAGGTGCCCTGGCTCTAGTCCCCATCATCTGCAGGAAGTAGATGGCCAAACCCTGCTCTGCGAAGCCTCTCAGGACTTAGGGGTACCTACACTTCTGTGCCTGGGGACAGATCCTGGGAGCCTGGATAGAGTGGTGTATTTGTGTGTATGTGTGTGTGTATGTGGTGGGGGGCTGATGCCAGTAGTGGTGAGTTGATGCTGACATCCGCCTTGGTGCCCCTGGGCCCCCTGGGCCCCAGATAAGCTGCCTTGTCAGGATTTAGTCTAGAGTCTTTTATGGGCATTGAGTCCCTGTGCCGGAACCCTCCCTCCTACTGGGCTTTCAAATATGCGTATCAAACCAATTGCCCCTGTTTGCTTTGGAAAGTAGGATCACTTCCCCTCCCCTAGGAGATCAAGCACTTTCTCTCTTGGCCAGCAGAGGGCAGTGGCTGACAAGGGAAAGAGAGTTGAAACAGCAAGGTGGGACTGTGCTCTTGAGATGAGAGAAGGGTGGAGGAGCTGAGCCACCTTCTGCCATGTTTTCCTCCTCCCGGTTTCCGATGACTGGACTGTGAGCAGGCAGCTAAGGCTCATTCTTATTGGTCATCTACAGGAAGCATTAGGCATGGGGTTCTGGTGGATTTAGGGCACGTCTTTTATGAGGTGACTAGAGTTTCTATTCTAGCCATTCTGACCTGGCAGCCCCTATGTTGTAGTGGAATAACCTTGCTTAAATTGTCACCTGAGGCCTGGTTCATGGGCTCACCTTCAGGGTAGAACCTTTTTGGGCGTAGGTTGTAGGCCTCTCTGAGCTGTGGTCATGGTCTGGTAAGAGTTTGGGGCAAAGTCGGCTCTAGTGTGACCTCGGCCTGACCTTGGCCTGTCCCTTAGCTCTGACCTCAGCCCCAGGCTGATGATTCACTCACGATGGGAAATGGGGGGGCAGACTGACTGCTGGGGGTGTTATCTCCACCCTAGGGTCAGGTGAGGAAATGGCCATTGTCCCTTTGGTCAGCACCAGGGAGGTCAAGCACTGAGAGAAGCCCTGGAAAGAGAGCCCAGGATGCCGACCCCCCAAACCTCTGTTGCTCCAGCTGCCTACTCTGCCAGCCAGCTGGGGCGTCCTGAGCTGGTAGCCAGCTGGACAGGGACAAGAGAGCAGTGTGCAAGAAACAGGGGCTCCGCAGGCATGATGGGGTGGGGAGCTGGGGGAGCTGGAGAGGACTTCCTGCAGCTGTCAGGTGTGTCTGGGGGGCCATAGCCAGGGGGGTGTAAAAACAGCTGCCCCTTTGAGGAGGGGCAGAGGGATCATTTGTCAGCTCTTGAGAACGTGGGGGGCCCAGAGGGGCTTGATGGAGTGTCTCTAGTCCCCTTAAGCTGGGAGTGTTGACTGTGGGGGTGGGGGTAGTATAAAAGAGACACTCTATAGTCTGGGGTTCTATGGCTCTGGGGTAGAAGTATCGCAGCAGGAGTTTAGGGGCATGTTTTGTTTTTTTTTTGTTTTGAGGGGGTTTGGATTTTGGCCAGCTGGTCTGGGGAGGTGGTATACCCAGTATTGTGGGTAGCAGACAAGGCAACCCCAAGGGAGGGGTGGAGATCCCTCACCCCCACCCCACCCTCCTTCTTGGCTGGACTGCCCCACTCTGGCGGGCTGCCGGCCTCCTATTTCCGTCGGGCACCAGGGTAACAGGGCCACATTAGGGTCTGAGCCAGGAGACGCCCAGCCAAGGCTAGGGCTGGGGTGGGGGAGGGTCTCAGAAGGGTCTGCTTGCAGGGTTTAGGGAATACTCTCTGGGTTCCAGGCCCCTAATTCAGGCTGTGTTCTATCCCCTACAGCTCTAGACAAGCACATGTGGGGTACCGTAGCCCCTCTTTGTACATTGCTGCTTGATTCACATAGCTCCCAGCCCCAAATCCCAGGAGTTGTCTACAACTGTGGGGGCTGGGGTAGAAGCCAGAGACAGGGGGCCTTGTGTATGGGGAAGCAGGGGGGTCAGCGCGGGTGGCTGGGAGGAAGAGTCCCCCCATTCCCGCCACCCTCTTGGCAGTGATTCAGAAAGGTCCTTTTTCAGCCAGTGTCAGAGCTGCTCAGCTGGGGAGGGAGGGAGGGAGGCGGGCGGGCAGGCAGGCGGGCAGGGACAGTCGGGTGGGGGAGCCAAGGAGTAGGGCTGGGGCTGTGACCACTGCACTGGTCACAGAAACAGGACAGAGACGGCTGTGGCGCTGCAGCCTGGAGAAGAGCTAGCTGCTCCCTGCTGGACTAGCCAGCTGTGGAAACCCAGCTGGCTGCCTGCAGAGAAAAGGGGCCTACCCTGCTCTTCTGCCCCGTTTCCCACTCTTGGTGTAGGATTTGGAGGCTCCTGGGTAGATTCCTCTGGGCAAATCCTAAAGCTGAGGCCCCTGTTCTCCTACTTCCTGGGCCCAAGCCTCAGTGACCCACTGGGGCTCCAGCTCCGGGGAGATGCCTGCAGCCCGTCGGTTCCCTGGCCTGGAGCTTTCCTTCCCTCTCCTGGCCAGACTTCGGCGACGCCTTTACACAGTGAGTGAGGGGTTGGGGGCAGAGGTTGGACTGACAGGGGGCCAGGCTAGCTTCTCAGAGCCGGCCAGCGCTTTGCCGAGAGGTAGAGAACAGGGCTGGGGATGGTTGAGTGACACTCCAGTGAAGGCTGATGGGCCTGGGCCCAGAGGCCTCTCCTCTCTAGCTGCCTTATGCTTGTTGGTGAGTGTGATTGAAAAGTGCGTGCAGGGACCAGGTCAAGTGTGTGCCTGTGCATGCCAGCCACAAGAGATACTCATGTCAGACACAGGTGTTCACACCCGGCTCTGTCCTGGGGCTGGACACAGGCAAGGCTGGAGACTGTGACCTGGAGAAGCTGCAGCGATGCTCTCTGCTTCACAAAGAAACTGGGACTGGGGAGGAGGTGAGGGGAGGTGACTTAACAAGGACCACCCTGGGCTTTATGGCAGAGACAAGACTGGGACCCAGGGCCCTGACTCCTTTCTTCTCACTAGGATCCCAGTGTTCTTCCCAGTCTTCCCACACAGCCCCTACCCAGAGCAGCCTTGTGCCTGGGGTGGGGGGTTGGGAGGAGAAGTATCCAGTTGAGCAGAGAAGTTTTATGAGCTGGTGTTTCAGGGGAAGGGATCAAATTGGGCTATGTTTTCTAAGTAGCTTCCGAAGAGGGATCCCTGGGTCTTCCTCAGGTCTGTCGACCCAGGACTTGCTTTGAGCTGGTCTCAGGAATTGCTGCCTTCTCCCCCAGAGAGGGGTATTAATGGTGAGCCTGGCACCCTAGGGTTGGGAGGCAGTGGGGACCCACAGACTGCATGGGAGCTCTGGTAGCATAGTGGCTACGGCACTTGACCGCTAACCAGAAGGCTGGTGGTTCAAATCCACCAGCCACTCCTCGGAAGGAAGATGGGGCAATCTACTTCCGTAGTGATACTGGCTCGGAAACCCAAGGAGGGGTCGCTATGAGTCAGGTCCGACTCGATGGCAAACAACAACAACAACAACACCTATGGTGCTTTCTTTTGGAAAACATTGGTGGCCCAGCCTCTTAAACTCCAAATTCTCTTTTTTTGTGTGACAAATAGTTTTTTGTTGAGGATAAATGAGTTAATTTAGCCAAGTGCTTAGAGCTGTGCCTGGTAGAGCCTCAGTGCAGTCGAGGTGTTAATGTTCCATTTATTGTCACTACTTTTAAATTAATAGAAATACAGCCTATTTACTGTGCGTGTGTACATATAGTCCAAAAGTCTGTATGATACCAGCTGTAATATAGAATGAAGGAAAGGATAACTTTTATGTGTTTTAACATCAGTGCTAGGGCATGACTACAGTAGATGATACAATGAAATGCTCAGATGCTAAGACCTCAGGTGGAACCTCCAGGAAGATGACAGCTTCATATGCTGACTGGAGTGGAGCTTTGAAACAAGAATAGACTGACTTCAAGTGAGATTTTTTCTAATAGTGAATAACTTTCACCAAGTTGCGGGCAAAAGGCAAAGATCAATTTTTTTTTCCTCGGTTTGCCCAGGAGTTCGGTTCCAGGAAAATTCAATGTATACTAAAATTGCAAAAATGCTTTCTTGTTAATAGGTAAAATGGAATTAGGTTCTAGGTGGGATGATTACAGTAAAATCTGTGAAAGCCAGAACCTGGGTAAGGCGGAAACCTGTCAGAGAAAGAAAACTCAAATGTTTTCTAGAAAGGGAGGTGGTAAGACTGTACCCTGTCAAAAGCAGAAAACTTAAAAGACCCAGAAAAACAAGGCAGCCCCAGCAAGTTCTGACTCTCCCTGGTTTCATTGTATAAACTGATTTTTTACCTGAATGAATTAAGTTCTGTAGCCTTAGGGACAGTCTGTGAAACTGCCCTGTGTATTGCAAGATGGCTCATATTTTTGCCCCCCGCCCCCGAATACCACTTGCTATTGGTGGTTTGCTGTTGACTTGATTCTGACTCATTGCAGCCCTATATGTGTCAGTAGAACTGTGCTCTGTAGGGTTTTCAGTGACTGATATTTTAGAAGTAGATCGTCAGGCGAAATCTCCCAAGGTGCCTCTGGGAGGGCTTGAGCCTCCACCCCTTTGGTTAGCAGCCGACCACGTTAACTGTTTGCACAACCCTGGACTCCTGTGCTGGCATCCCTCAGATGTCCCCTAGAGGGTTGTACAGCTCTCATGAGAACCATCTGAGTAAGGGTTTGCAGCTTAAAAGGTTGAAAACCACCCATCTGGTCCAGCCCCCGTGGTGGGCTTGAACCGAGGCTTTTGTCATTCCCATTTGTCATCCCTTGTACTGCCCTGAGCTGCCTGAGAAAGTCTGAACTCCTGGCACTATTGGCAAGACCACTGGGAACTGCAAAGGCAGAAGACTCATGCTGAGTCTGGGCTGTGAGCGCCTGATTCTCTTAGTGCAATGTGTGAGGAAAGTAGGGGATGAGACTATGTTCCTCTGAGATGGGGAGAAAGCAGTCACCTGGCCCCTGGAAGGTAGCTGTCTTTTTCCTCTTGTCTCTTCCTCGGAGTCAGGATTGAACATGGATCAGGGACTGGCCTTGTTAAGCAAGCCTTCAACTCTGAAATGTCTTGGATAGGGATAGATTTGACATCCAGTGGACCAGGCTGCTTAGCTTTGAAGGTGCCGTTGGCCTCTTTCTTTGGGCCAAAGAGAGCACAGGTCACAGGTCACTCACTTGTGGCCCATTGGCTGATTGTGACCTGAAATGTGTTTTGCTTGGCCAGCAGAGTATGTGTGTGTCTTTCAAACTTGAGTGTTAAGTGAATGCAAGGAAAAGAACAGTATGGGTAATGTGTGAATATTTTGGGGGAAAACAAAGTCTGGAAGGATGAGAACATTAATGGCAGCTGGGTTTGGGGTGGGGAACTAGGTGGCTGTGCAGTAGGAAGAAAATGACACTATGGAATCCTGTGTGCCTTTAAAATTTTTTTTACCACGTGCATATATTGCCTTTTTGAAAATATCCTACTGGTAAGATTCCACACTTAAATCCAGATTTTCATTATTTTTAAAAGAACAGGAAGCTTTGACAACACGTGCCACAGTCCTTTAGGACAGCCATCAACACTAGCTGAGATTGCGCCTTTTTTAGAGGCAACTAAAAGCCCACCCCAGTCCACACCACTCCCCCTTGTCTTACACTGGTTGTGGCCTGGTAGACACTTGCGTATAGGGTATTTGCTGATTGGATTCTTGAGAGAGGCTCCAGGAATGTCGGGCATTGGGAGGAACCTAACTTAGACTTCATGTGGTCCCTGGTTCCTGGGGGGCCATCAGGTTTGGGATGGATACTAAGACCCTGACTCCTGACTCCTCGACCACAGCTGTATTCCAACTGCCCTAATTATACCCTTATTGGTCGCAGGATGGGGTTTGCGGGTACAGGCTTTTCTGTACAGCTGTTTTGGGGAGCAGGAAGGTGGTTTGACTCCTTGCAGACAGCAGCATAGTAGGATGTGGGTGAGCCCAGGGCATCCAGGGCAGAGTCCTGTGTTAGCACCCTGAGCCTTTTTTCATCTCCCCACAGAGGCTGGGGAGCAGCAGCATGCAGCCGGAGGAGGGCACAGGCTGGCTGCTGGAGCTGCTGTCTGAGGTGCAGCTACAACAGTACTTCCTGCGGCTCCGTGATGACCTCAATGTTACCCGCCTGTCTCACTTTGAGTATGTCAAGAATGAAGACCTGGAGAAGATTGGCATGGGCCGGCCTGGTAGGTGGGGACATTGGCTTTGCTTGTCCTCTTCCCATTGACCATTTACCTCCTCCACCCTCAGGACTGCTGGTTGCACGGGAGAGCCCTTTCCTCCTTCATTCCATGGGGTGGCACAACTGAGAATTCATGTGACCCTGTCCCTGAAGCCCTGAAGTGGGGTGGGAGGGCATCAGTCATGGTACACATAGTAGATGCACTGAGAACAGTGTGCAGTTGTAAAGGTGAATTGGAGAGATGAGGTCTGACTCACTTAAAGCCCCCTCTTCTGTCAGTTTGTTGTACTGTGGTGACTTGTGTGTTGCTTTGATGCTGGAAGCTAGGCCACCAGTATTTCAAATACCTAAAGGATCATCCATGGTAGACAGGTTTCAGAGGAGCTTCCAGACTAAGACAAACTGGGAAGAGGAAAGGAGCATCCACTTGTCAAAGAATTGGCCAGTGAAACACTGTCTGATACATTACTAGAAAGCTCTGAGTACTCAGGATTAATTGCGAACCACTTTTTATTTGTTCAGACATATATAGGATGTATTGCCTCTCTTTCCCCTCCTTCATAAGCCTGGAATTGAGTTTATTCTGTTCACTGTTCTGAACACAAGGAGTCAATGTCCAAGATGTGTATGGGGAAGGGAAGATTAAGGAACCCACAGTTGCCTTGTTAATTTTCTCATCTCTATCCCTCTGTCCCCTTGTGTCTCTGTCTTTTTGTCTGTCTCAGTCTGTCTCACATGCACAAAGATCTACTTTTGTTAAGTTGAACTCATCACTTATGTTTGTATTTATCCTAAATAGAGTGGTTGCAGCATCTAGAAGTCATGGTGTTCACTGTAGAACATTAGAGACTTATCAGTGCATTCATCTTAAGATAACTAAATAGGTAGTAATGTATTCAGTTAGACAATGACTTGTGCTCCTTTTTGGTCAGGCTAGTTGGTGTCTCCTGCCAACAGCTTAAGAAAATTTTATGGGAGAAAAAAAAAAAATTGAGAAAAGTTTATTCATCACCTTGATTTTCCCCAAGAGTTGAGAGACCACCACTGTTCAGTTTTGGTGGTTGAACCCATCCAGTTTGAGAACTGCAGTGGGAAAGTGGAAGGCAGTGACCTCTCTGCATCATCGAGGCTCCTGGTTGGTTGGAATTGGTGTCATTGTATCGGGCAATACCCAATGGTGGGCCGCCCTCTGCTGGGTGGGCAGCAGCGACTCTGGTGTGGTGGGGGCCTCCCTGACAGCACCAAGTTCCCTTCTCTCCCTGCAGGCCAGCGGCGGCTGTGGGAGGCTGTGAAGAGGAGGAAGGCCATGTGCAAGCGCAAGTCCTGGATGAGCAAGGTGGGTGGATGAAGAGGGGGTGGCAGAGGAGAACGAGGGCCCCCACTCCAGTGGCAGTCCTAGGAAACTCCCCCATCCTGGAGCAGGCCTAATCGCACCGAGTTTCCTGTGCACTTTGTACAGGCCTCCCTCCTCCAGGGTCTTATCGGGCAGGGTACTTGTAGAGCTGCCTAGCTAAGTGTCATCTCCGCCAGAGACAGACATGTGAGCAGCTTGTGTGCAGAGATTTCCTCACATCCCCTCTGGGTGTCTGGGTGCAGGGTGGGAATGGAGCTTGCTGACAAGTGTCTGTAGGTTGGGACTGTTGTGCAGCACAGGGTGGAGGGGACTGCTGGGACCCTCCTCCCCCACCATCTCTAGTGGTCTGTGTTTCTGTGGTTATCTGGCCTCGCTGACAGCTTCTTCCCCCATGGCTTGTCCCCTCCCCCAGCCTCTGTCCTAATTTGGATGTTGGTGTGCTGAATCTCTGGTCTGACTCAGTGGAACTTTGCCCATTGTCTGGAAGACAATGAGAGAGGAAGTGAGCCAGCCAGGGCCTTCCCTCCCCACTTCTGCCTCAAGGCTGGGGAGAGGGGCTGGGGGGGTGGGCAGGATAGAACAGCTGGGCAGGGATTGGGCAACAGAGATTTCCTGGCTGCAGTCCAGGCAAAGAGGCTGTCTCCTGGGAGCCTGTGGCCTCTTCTGGGGACACTGTCCTGGTCTTTTGCCCAGCTTTTAGGGAAGGATGAGTATATTGAGCAGTGATGGCAGGAGAGAGGGGAGCAGTGTGATGTGTAGGTAGTCATGGCGCTTGGTTCTGCTCCTGACTGGTGGTGCTAGGTCTCTGGGCTGTCAGTGAGCCATTCTAGACTTGAGTCATGTCTTAAGTGAAACAGCCATACTCACCCAGCTCTCCTCATAGTCTGGGGGAAGGTCCATGATGATGGCTGTGAAGGCCCTTGTTAGCTGAACATTGCTTGCATATATCAGAGATTCCAGTTATTGAGAGGAAGGACAGGGAGCCAAGGCCAGAAGATGCCTTCAGAGAGGAGAGGCCCCCAGCCTGTGTGGAGAGGGCTCAGCTAACCTTGGGGGATACTTAGAAGGTGAAATGGGCAGAATCTGCAGCTTGAAGTCCAAGCTTTGGATGTCTCAGGGAGATAGCCAAGCCAGACTGAAGGGCCAGTTCTGACTCTTTAGGTCTCTTCCTATCTCTTGACCTTTGCTCCCTCTCTCTCCAGCCTAGGAACTCCTTTCTGCCCCTTTAGCTCTAGGCGCCCCTCCAGAAGCCCAGCTGTCTTCCCAGGCCCTTCCCCAGCAAGGACTAGCTAGCTGCGTGTGTACACACTGTCTAACCTCAGACTAAAATTATCCCTCCCCTGAGCAGGATGAAGCATAGCCGACTCCCCAGGGAGGGTGGAGACAGACAGCACCAAATGGTCAACCCAGAGAAGGGGCCAGGGCTAAAATTGGACAGGGAGGTGTTTGTGGAGGGCCCCTGAGGCTCCTGTCCCATCTACTTGGATTGGGGCTGGAGTCTGTGCTAGGTAGAGGATACAGGGAGGGAGGGGTGGGGCAGAAGGGCTGGAAGGGAGACTCGGACTTTACCACCCTAGGGGCTGGTGGTACTGTGTCAGTTGCTGACCCCAGGGCTGCATGTAAGGCTGTGGGTTCCAGTTTGGGGTGTGGTCTCAAGGGAGCGTGGGCCTCTAGTCTGGCTGCCCCTGGCAGTTGAGCAAAGCCAGGACCCATCTGATGAGCACAGGTGGACCCTGTGGGGCAGGGCGGAGTGACTGGCTCTGGGGCCTCAGGCTCCCATCTGGCCCCGGGCTGCCTTCAAACAGGTGTTCAGTGGAAAGCGGCTGGAGGCTGAGTTCCCTCCTCATCACTCTCAGAGCACCTTCCGAAAGACCTCACCCACCCCGGGGGACTCCGCAGGGGAGGGGGCCCTGCAGAGCCTCACCTGCCTCATCGGGGAGAAAGATCTGCACCTCTTCGAGAAGCTGGGGGATGGCTCCTTTGGCGTGGTGCGCAGGGGCGAGTGGGACGCCCCTTCAGGGAAGACGGTGAGCTGTGGGCCCTGTAAGTCCGAGGGATGGGACTCTCAGTTATCTAGTGCTGCCACAATGGATGGCTATAACAGATGTATTTTCTCACAGCTGAGGAGGCTAGAAGCCCAAACTTAGGGTGGCTTCTCTGGGAGAAGGCTGAGTCTGTCTGTCTGCTCTGGGGGAAGGCCCTCATCCCAGAGCTCTTACCTTTCCTTTTGGCATTATATATTTAAATTTTCCCCTAAGTAGTAATGTAAAATAAAGCATACAGTTTTTAAGAGTACAGCTTAGTGCATCTTTATGAATATATAGACCCACCTAACCTAGGAGCTCTGGGAGCTCTGGTGGCATAGTACCTAAGGCATTTGACTGCTAACCAGAAGGCTGGTGGTTCAAACCCACCAGCCACTCCTCAGAAGGAAGGTTGGTCAATCTACTTCCATAGAGATACTGCCTCAGAAACCCAAGGAGAGGTCGCTATGAGTTGGAATCAAGTCGACAGCTGTGGGTTTGTTTTTCTGGTTTTTTAACTACTCCTGAAGGAGCTCTGGTGACACAGTACCTAAGGCATTTGATTGCTAACCGGAAGGTTGGAGGTTCAAACCAGGAAGACTGGCAGTCTACTTCTGTAAAGGTTTACCACCTTGGAAACCCAATGGGGGTCACTGTGAGTCAGAATCGACTTGATGGCAGTGGGTTTCTTGATTTTTTAACCACTCCCTAGATCAAGATACAGAACATTTCCATTACCCTTCTAGCCAGTATCCCTTTCTTCTAAGGGAAGCTGTTGTTCTGACCTCTGTCACCATTGATTAGTTTTTTGGTATTGTATTTAAAACCTTTTCCTTCTACAACACAAATCTTATTTTAATACTCTGTTTTATTATGATACTTTAACATTCTGTCATCCTGTTGGGCACCTCTTACCTTATGGGTTGATAGTTCACTTGAGAATCCTCCCAGGAAGCAGGGGCACAGCTGATGGTCAGCTCACTGCCCTCCTCCAGCCAGGCCAGAGAATAAGTCCAGGCACTGACTCTCCCAAATGAGCAGGTCTCGGGAGAGGAACAGGTTGGCCTATTGGTGGGAGCTGTGGCATGTCCTCACTCCCTGCTGTCCCCACTCTGGGCAGGTGAGTGTGGCTGTAAAGTGCCTGAAGCCTGATGTGCTGAGCCAGCCAGAGGCCATGGATGACTTCATCCGGGAGGTCAATGCTATGCACTCACTTGACCACCGCAACCTCATTCGCCTCTACGGTGTGGCGCTCACACCCCCTATGAAGATGGTGAGTGCTCCTGGGAGGTGGTAGGGAAGGACTGTGGTTTCTGGGTCTGTGGTCACTCCCTTCATTCTGAGGAAGGTCAGAGGCACCTCTGGACCCTGCTTTGGTTCCCTCCCTATGGAAGCCAGGGGACTCACAGGGTCCAGCCCGGTACTGACATGTTTGCTGGAGCCCATGTCCAGCTCTGGATTTTGCTTGTGCTCATTGACAATGAGTTGCACTCATGGCAAGGCCTGGTCTTAAATTTAGATTTTGGAATTGGTAGCCTGAGCCTTTCTGGACTGCTTCTCTCTGCACAAGGAGCTCTGGTGGTATAGCAGTTAATGCGTTTGGCTGCTAACCTGAAGGTTGGTGGTTCGAGCCCACCAGTGGCTCCACAGGAGAAAGATGAGGCAGTCTACTTCTGTAAAGGTTTATAGCCTTGGAAACCTTAGGGGGTAGTTCTACTCTGTCCCATAGGATTGCTTTGAGTGGGAATCGATTCTATGGCAGCAGGTGGATTCTCTCAGGACCTTGGTTTCCCACTGAGAGGGAGTTTGCCTGGACGAAGAGGTCTGGGAAGCTGTAGAACTCCCAGAGGCCCCAGAGATTAGGCCAGGGAGGGGCATGGAGTATGACTCTGGGACTTGCAGAATGGAGAGGGACCTAGGGTGCTGGGGGTGGGGTGGGGCCAATCCTGGTTTATTTGTCCTGCTTCCTCTGTGGCTTCAGGTGACAGAGCTGGCACCCCTGGGCTCATTGCTGGACCGACTGCGCAAGCACCAGGGCCACTTCCTCCTGGGAACTCTGAGTCGCTATGCCGTGCAGGTGGCTGAGGGTATGGGCTACCTAGAGTCCAAGCGTTTTATTCATCGTGACCTGGCTGCCCGCAATCTGCTGCTGGCCACCCGGGACCTGGTCAAGATCGGGGACTTTGGGCTGATGCGAGCACTACCCCAGAATGATGACCACTACGTCATGCAGGAACATCGCAAGGTGCCCTTTGCCTGGTGAGGGGCAGGTGCTGCCAGCTCATCGGGTGTGGACCCCATCCCTCCACACCTGGTCCCTGCACACTCAGCCTCAGAGCTCTTAGGGCTTCTGTCCTCAGTCCTGCCCTTGCCTGTTCCAGGCCTGAGATGCCCTTCATAAGCACCCTTCTATTCTCCTGTCCACCTGGGAGTTCTTGAGGGCCCTGTGTCAGGGTCTCACAGGGATAAGTGCAGTGAGCACTTGCAAAGGGCTGTGTACTCAGTAGGGTATTAAAAGGTTTCTTGGGGGACTCACCATTTAGAGCCTGGAAGATGAGGGGAAGTTAGCCAGACCAAGACTGGTTGGTAAGCATGTTCCAGGTGGAGCCAGCAGCAGGTGTTACACATGAGCTACGGCAGCAGGCAGGGCCAGACATGCTGGGCCTTGTAGACGGCAGCCAGGGCTGCCCCAACCCGTGTGGGCTTTTCCTATGCAGAGACCATCATGGTCCCCTGGTGTCATAGGCACCCACAGGAGTATGGTCTTTCTGCTTTGGGATGAGAGGAGTTGGTCCAGTTCTTTTTGCCACTTGGATGGTTTTAGAGAGTCCTAATAATCTGTCAGGAGCTCTGGTAACATAGTAACCAGACGGCTGGCAGTTCAAACCCACCAGCCACTTCTCGGAAGGAAGGTTGGGCAATCCTACTTACGTAGTGATACTGCCTCGGAAACCCAAGGAGGGGTCGCTATGAGTCGGGGCCGACTCGATGGCACATAACAACAACAACAACAATAATCTGTCACCCTATTTAATATCTGACTTTATACTGTACATCCTGGATTATGCCTCTTGTCCTGGAGTCATTAATAGCACCACCCCCTTTCACACTCAGCATCCTGGTTTGGATGGTAAACTATAAGGTCACCCTTTTTTTTTTTTTAAATAATTTCTTTTTTGTTGTTGAGAATATATACAGCAAAAATACACAGCAGTTCAAGTTTCTGCATGTACAGTTTGGTGACATTGAATACATTCTTTGAGTTGTGCAACCATTCTTACACACCTTTTCTGAGTTATTCCTCCCCTGTTAACAAACTCATGGCCCACTAAGGTTCCGTGCAATCTTTCTGGTTGCTGTTGTACATTTGATCCCATATAGATAGATCTTAGTAGAGCACAATGCTCAACACAGACTCTTCCCCCCCCACCAAATTTTTGCAGTGTTGCCTCCCCTCCCACTCCTGGTAACCAACAAAGAAAGTTTCCTTCTGTATATAAACCTTCCCTTGACATTTTACAATAATGAACTAATACAATATTTGTCCTTCTGTGATTGACTTATTTCACTCAGCATAATGTCCTCCAAGTTCATTCACGTTATGCAGTGTTTTGCAGATTCTACATTATTCTTTAGTGTTGCATAGTATTCCATCGTCAAGGACAACATTCTTTACTAGTTAAGCTGAACTGTTGTTTGGCCTAAAGAAGATTTCAGGGGGTTATTTTAGCTTAAGGATTAAAGATTATCTCAGAGCAATAGTTTTAGGGGTTCATCCAGCCTCCACGGCTCTAGAAAGTCTGGATTTTATGAGAAATTGAAATTCTGTTTTGTACCCCCCCCACACTTTGATCAGAATTCCCCTATAGAACGTTTGATAGAAAAGTTCTTTTAAACATAGCTCCTCAGTGTGCCCTGTGAAGTAGGCAGGGTATTCCCATTTCACAGGTGAGGATTAGAGATCTAGTGTGACTTTCCCTGGTCCCACCCCCTCTAAGTGGCAGGACCAGCTCAAGTCACAGAGACATCCTTAGGTTCTACACCCAGGGCACCTTCTTCCTCTCCCCACCTCAGCCCAATCTGGAATACCCCTCTTCTAGCTTCACTGCAGTGGCATTTCTCTCTCTCACCCAGGAAGGAGCCCCAGAGGGAGTATGGTGGTGTTCGGGTGAAGCCTGTGTGGCTATTTCCACCCATTTGGTTCTTCCCCAAGACCTATCCAAATTTCCCACCCACGCTTTCCTGTTGAAATGATCCAAGTCCCAGGATCCTGCCTAAAAGCTGGAAACTGTCATCCTCCCACTACCCCTAATTAGGAAACAGCCGTCCCACCCTCACCCTGGAGCCTTCTGACCTTCCTTTCCCTGTTTTACCAAACTCAAGACACTTCATCCTCCTCCTCCCACCCAGGCTGCATTTGAATAAAGAACCTGACTGTAGATGATTTTCTCCAAGTATGTGCACCTGTGTAGTCAAGAAGTCCTGCCCGTGTCCACTGTATACCATTCCCTAGTACGTGCGATTGAGTCTGGCACAGAGTGGGGGCTACAACAACTGCTTGTTGAATGAATGAATGAATTATTGCAGGTGGGGGTGATCTGAGAGGCCTTCTGTTTGACCCCTGTCTCTGCCAGGTGTGCACCTGAGAGCCTGAAGACACGCACCTTCTCCCATGCCAGTGATACTTGGATGTTTGGGGTGACGCTGTGGGAGATGTTCACCTATGGCCAGGAGCCCTGGATTGGCCTGAATGGCAGTCAGGTGAGGGGATTGGGGATGTGCTCCTTGTAGTGTGGGCTTAGGGTTCATGTGATCCCTGGCTCCCAGCCTGGCCTTGTGGGATTGTTGGCTCTTATCTGATGGACACCCCCCACCTCCTGTGTCCCCATGACCTCTGAGGGATAACTAACAAAGAGAAGGAACTGTCACAGCTTGTCAGGGCAGGCACGAGCTGGGCTGGCCATTCCTAGCTCTTGCCACATTCACCTGTCCTGAGGCCCCAGACTCGTCTACTCTAGGTGCAGATCTTTTCTTTGGAGGGCAGCCAGCAGCTCCAGTTGTAAGATAGACAGGAGGGAAGATGGGAAGTGAAGAATGCTCATTCTCAAACTCTGGACTACCCCACCACCAGATCCTGCATAAGATTGACAAGGAGGGGGAGCGCCTTCCGCGGCCCGAGGACTGCCCCCAGGACATCTATAACGTCATGGTTCAGTGCTGGGCTCACAAGCCAGAGGACAGACCCACCTTTGTGGCCTTGCGGGACTTCCTGCTGGAGGTGAGGGCAGGTCTGCCCACAGAAGCTGGGTGTCCAGGGGAGGGGCTGCTGCATCTGTGTGGGCCAGTCCAGGTGGGAAATGACCTGTCTTTGCCCCCAGGCCCAACCCACTGACATGCGGGCTCTTCAGGACTTTGAGGAAGTGGACAAGCTGCACATCCAGGTGAATGACGTCATCACCGTCATCGAGGGAAGGTAGGGAGAGGGGTTGAAGGGCAAGGCTTTGGTTGGGACTGCTTCCTGCAGTGGGAGGGAAGGGCAGGCTTGGGTCAGGCTCCTGAGCCTTAGGGTTAATTACCTAGACTCTTTGGCTCACAGAGTTTTCCCTGCCTAGCCCCACCTCTGTTGCCCTTTTCCCGCTGGGCTCCAGCCCTGGCTGTGTGGTTCGGGGCCAAAGTACCTTTATGGTGCCCAGTCAGAAGTGGTCCAGCCTGGCCTCAGGACCACAACTAGGGACTCTGGAACTCCTGAACATTCCTTCTCTAATCCTTTCCCTCCCCTTTCCACCCGCCTCCAGCCTCCACCCAGCAAAAGGGACTCTTGACTATTGACTCTGGTTGCCTTTGAATGCCCAAAGCAAGCCCCACCCCTGCCAGGCCCCACCCTCTTCCTGTGGCCCAGCCATTCTTCCCCTTCTGTGAGCCCTCTGCTACTGCAGCCCCTCTGCTCTCTCCCCAGGAGTCTCTCCATCCCCTGCCTCTCTCTTCCCAGCCTTCCCTGGCAGGCTTTCTCTGTTCCTGACCCCATGGTTGTGTGTGCCTCCTTGCTGTCTTCCTCCCCCACACATGAGCACACACGTGTCTTTGCCTGTGGGCAGCATCTCCTGAGTCACCGCTCCTACCTGCAGCCCCCACAGCTCAGCTCCCGCCCATATCCCGGTCCTGCCCCTGTTATCTGATCCCTGGATGTCTGAGGAACTGGTCGGGACTGGGGCAAGGTTGAGGTGTCTTTAGGGCAGGGGCCGAGTATTGAGGAGCAGGAAGAAGAGCAGCAAGGCAGAAGAAATTCTCTGTGCTTCCCAGCTCCTCTGACTTGGACCAGGCAAGAATTGGGGGTAGGGGGGATGCTTCCCTTAGCCTTTTCTACCTGGACTTCCATGTTTGGGGTCTGGGGCCTAAGGTTTAAACCTTCTGCCTTATGGGAGGGTTGACAAGAGAGGGGAGACCTGTAGGTCTGAGACAGGGTGATAGAGTAGCCTGTGGGAGAGGAGCACCACCTGTAGCCACTGTGGCCCCAACACCTCTTCCTGAAGCCAAGGGCCCTCTCCCCTTTCTGTCCAGTGTCTGGGAACAAGAATGGTGGGCCATGCCAACAGATTACAGGGGCTTGTGGTTAGGGGGCTAGTGGTGGTGGAAGAAAGCAAAAAGCTTCTAAAAGGGGGCAACCTAGGGGACAGGAAGGAATCTGCTCTGTGGGTTTGGAGCTGAGGGTGTCAGGGAAGGATCTGTAGGCATGGTACTCTGGGGAGCAGTCCGGAAATAGAAAGACTAGGGATGAGGGTCCTCGGGGAGGTATGTGGCAGGGCCTGAAGCCAGCCTGTGCCTCCCACCACAGTTGCTCTTTCCTCGCTAGAGAGCCTTCTTCTCAGCCCCTCTTCTGCTCCCAGCCCCAAACATCATCTCCCCCAGACCTTTACCACCCCATCTCTTGCTCTCCGTGGGAGCCTGTGTGTCAAGGTGCAGCATTCCCGAGGGGCTGACTCAGGCACTTCATGTGTTTTTGGGGTGTGTGTCTTGAACTGGCACCCTGGGTCACAGCTGGAGTGAGGCGGGCAATGGTGGGGGGGGCAGGGGAGTGGCTTCTCCTGGGAGGCCACTGTGGTCATGGGTGCGTCTGGCCCCGCCCTTCCGTCACAGGCTCCGGTTGGCCCAAGCTTCTGCCTCCGCTGTCTGCCGGCAGTGTGGGCTCACTGGGTCACCAGCCCCAACTTGGACCACAGTGACTGTCCTTGGTCCCTGGAGCAACTCAGGAGGTGGGAGTGAGGGCAGGAGGTATGACAGCCGGTGAGGCTTTGCCTGTGTGTCGGTGGTACCAGAGCTTTAGCTCTGCCCCCTTCTTCCCGAAGATCTCTTGTTTGTTTTGCTGACTCAGTCTCCATGTCTCCGGGTGACTGGGCTCTCTGCTCCTGTGTTTCTTTTGGGTCTGGGCTTGTATGTGTGGGTCTCTGCCTGGTTCTCTGTCTCCCTCTTAGACTGCTCTCTGTACTCATACCTGTGTTCTTCTGTTCAGCCTGGGATTCCTTCTACCTGAATCCCTAGGGGCTGACTCAGGCATTTCATGTGTTTCTGGGGTATGGGATTCTAGGAGACTCCTTATCCCAGCTCTGACTGATTCCATAGGCACAGTGCTTCTCAGGGTACCAGCCATGGGTTGAGAGAAGACATCTAGATTTAATGTTTATGTGAGCTGAGCTTGTGGGGCTGGGCTCTGAGGGGCAACTGGATGACTGCTCTTTCCCAGGGGTCTTGCGTGGATGTTGCACAAAAACAGAACTGACAAAGGGGTACAGGGTTTTAAAATTCATCTGGGGGCTGTTGGCTTGGCCTGGTCCTGGTAGCCTCTTGCTTCCTCGTGTGTGTGTGTGTGTGTGTGTGTGTGTGTCGGGTACAGGAAAATCAGGGTTATCCCTTGAGGTTAGGGGCTGCCTGGGAACCAAGAGAGAGAGGTGGGTAGGGGTGGTATTTTGAATAGAATTTTTAGGCAACAGTTGTGCAACTGTCCCTGGTCTGCCTTAGGCCAGGACTGGGACAAGTGCTGAGGTTTCCAGAGACTGGTCCCCAACAGAACTGGGGTGGCTTTAGACAGTTGTTAGCCCAGACCTCAGTTTCCCATTTTGCAGATGCTTCTTCACACCTGCCCCAGGACACTGTTGTGGGGGACCAATGTCAGCAGGAAGTAGAAGTTTCAGGCTGGAGGTGCTGAGCCTTTTTTTTTTACTTCCCCAGGGATTTCCAATCTGTCTTTTGCTTCCATGACTGCCGGATAGTGGGCCTGATGGTACCATGGAGACCTGGGCCTGTTCATGAAGGGGGAGGAGAGGGTATGGTCAGAGCAGGCAGGTGGGAAGGTCTGGCCTCAGTCCTCTGGGCTGCTGGGACCTCAGCCCCACAGGCAACACGTGGGCAGTGAGATGTAGTGCTGGCCATCTTGGAAGTAAGGTTTGAGCCTTGTCAGGGGAGAATTTTGTTGTTGTTGTTATGTGCCGTCCAGTTGGACCCGACTCATAGCGACCCCTTCTTGGGTTTCCGAGGCAGTATCACTACGGAACTACTTCTGAATGTGTTTGGGATGCAATTCCCAGGGGGTCTGTCTCTGCATTCTGACACCCCTCCCCCAGGAGCAAGCACATTCTTGGAAAGTAGTGTCAAGATGCCCACCAATCTTGGGGACTTGTGCCACTGCCAAACCTATAATATAGGAGGCTGGGCGTGCTACTCCTTTCATCACAGAGATGGGTCCAGAGGAGGCCTCTGTGTCAGGAGTTGGCTTCATCAGCAGAAGGAAAGGGTGGAGAGAGTGACCTCTGCCAGACCTGGCCTCGCCCAGGGTCCCTGTAAGCAGGAGACTATGAGGAGCCATGGCCGCAGGGTAGACCTGACTCAAGACACAAGTCCTTTCCACTCTGTACAGCATCTCCACCTCAGCCATGTTTCCCACCTAAGTTAATAAGCACCTCTGAAGGGGTGTGGAGAGCAGGGTCCAAGGTCTGGGCCCTGGGGTAGGTGTCTGGGTGGGAGAAGAAGGTCTTGTTTCGTGGATCCTGTGGGGGTGAGGGATAATGTCCTGGCTGGTGCATCCTCCCCTCACTCCCCTGGCTTTCATGGGGGTCCTTGACCTCTGCAGGCCCTGAATAGGCAGTAGAGAGTCCTTTCTCTCCTTGAAATGGCCCTGCTATTTTCAGATGGGCTTTGTCCTTCCAGGGGTGTTGTCCTCTCTTCTTCCTTCCTTTCCTGCCCTTCCCACTCTGGGGCCAGGGTGGTAATCACAGGGTTTCTGTGTCTGGTGGTGGGCCATGTCAGGCAGCCTTGTTTACAAGGAGCTGGCCTCCTAGTCCTTCCCCAGCCCACCTCTTGGTTCCCTGAGGAGGGAACAGTGTCATAGCGTGCCATGCCCCCTCACCAAGTGCTGGTGCAGGTAGCCTGCATCGCCTCCTTCCCTCGGTCCTTGGCCCGACTGGCTGCACTTCACAGGAGGTCTTTCTTTATGCTCCTTGTTCTGGAACCAGTGAAGTGGGGGTGGAGCTGACTGAGGGTGTGGAGATTGGTGCCCCATGTGTCCACCACAGCAACACATGGCTGTTGCCATCTCTGTCTATGTCATCAGAGACACAGGTGCCTCACAGCCCCTCAGTGTCCGCAGGGTGGGGAATGAGCTCTGTTCATTCTCACCGCCTTCCCCCTTCACCACCACCACCTCAGGGATCTGGCTTACGTGACACCAGCAGAGCTTTTATGTTTGAGGCCAGAAGGACTTAGGTCGCACAGTCTAGCCACCCTGGGAGGACTGGCTCTCTCTGGGCCTCTATTTGAAGACAGAGTAGAGCTCCTCTGGAGTGTCTGGGTGGTGCAGAAATTAATGCACTTGGTGGCTAGCCGAGAGGTCGGAGTGGAGGGTTAAGTCCACCCAGAGGCACTGCAGAAGAAAGGCCTGGTCATTTATTTCCAAAAAACCAGCCACTGAAAACCCTGTGGAGCACAGTTCTGCTCTGACACACATGGGGTCACCTAAGTAAGAGTTGACTTGACAGCCAAAAAACGGGTTTTTTTGGAGCTTGCCCTCAGTAGGAAGGTGATGGTAAGGGTCCTAAAGCCCTGCCAGGAGGTATGAAGGAAAGCCCCGAGATCTCTGAGCTGGTGAAGGGAAGGCTGGGTTGCCCAGGGTGTTGCCAGACATTTAAAGGTCTGCTGCCGTCAAGTTGGACCCAACTCATAGCGACCCTCCTTGGGTTACTGAGGTGATACCACTACGGAAGTAGATTGCCCAACCTTCCTTCCGAGGAGTGGCTGTTGGGTTTGAACAGCCAGCCTTCTGGTTAGCAGTCAAGTGCCTTAGGCCCTATGCTACCAGAAGTCCCTATGCAGGAGACAGACTGTAGCTGGATTGCTGGGTCCCAAAGCTCAGGGCTGAGGCCCATCGTGCTTCCTTGGGCTCCTGCATGTCTTAAAACCCCATGGAACTGGGCTGGAGCATGGAACTGGAGTGTGTATGTGTGTGTGTGTGTGTGTGTGTAGGGTGATGGGGAGGGAGGCAAGGTGGTACTGTGAGAAGGGTGCTGGCTTTGACTTTGGGTTTGAATCCTGGGTCTGCTGTGATCTTTCTGGTAAATGTAGGCACGTCCTGTCACTTGTTTGAACCTGTTTCCTTATTTGTGAACTGTAGGAATAACTGTCTGACCCACTTAGCTACTGTAGGTTTTATGCACACAGCCTGGACACTCTTAAGGGAGAGTGGCAGGTCATGGATCCCCTTTCAGGTTAGTGACTGCTGGAAGAAGGCAGGCTGACAGCTCTGGTCCTGTACCCTTAGCCATTGTACTTCTCTTCTGCTGAGGTGGTCAGATACTTGGTGTGGGAAGGAAAGCTCCTTGGAGTTGTTCCTTTGTGGTTACTGTTGTCTCTGTTGGGCAGGGCCGAGAATTACTGGTGGCGTGGGCAGAACACGCGGACGCTGTGTGTGGGGCCCTTCCCTCGCAACGTGGTGACCTCTGTGGCAGGCCTCTCAGCCCAGGACATCAGCCAACCCCTGCAGAATAGTTTCATCCACACGGGGCATGGCGACAGCGACCCTCGCCACTGCTGGGGCTTCCCGGACAAGATCGATGAGTGAGTATGAATACCTACCGGGGCGTGTCTCCACCTGACTTCACTGCCTGGTGCTCCCGGGCTCAGTACCCTGCACACAGGCGTTCTCTGTATGTCTTTACCCCTCCTCTTCCTCACTGGCCCCCCACCCTGGCCGGTCTCCGTCCTGATTCCCTGCCTAATTCTTGGGAAGCTGTGGAATCAGAGAAGGCTCAGGTGGAGGAAGTTTTGGTCTGAATCCTTCCTCTTTTACTCGAAGTTTGTGGGCAGGTCTCAACTCCCGAGGCTTAGTTTCTTCACCTGTAAAATGGGTTTGAGGATCCAATGACAGAAGGGCTGTGCATGTACTCAGCAAATTAGGAAGTGCTGCACAAATGCTGGGGCTCATTAGAGAAACTTTCCTACCGAACTGGTTCCAAAAGGGTGTTTCCCAAGTCTATGTTCCTAAGGCCAGTGTGCCAGCAGGGCTTTAAGTCTATAGCCCGTGGTAGCCTTTCTATAAATGGGGGTACGAGTCCATCCTTTGAAGCTCCTAGCCCCAGTTGTGCCTACATTGCAAGGTGTTGGGCAATGAGAAGCCCTTTGCCCCATGATTGTGGCAGGGACATTAGAAGCTGTGGCTGTCACAGTCATGTGTGGAAAATACACTGTATTGACCTGGAAGCAATTGGATAGCTCATGTCCCTCTTCCTGTGGGGTTCCGGTTCTGCCCTGGGGAGCCTTCCTCTTGAACAGCAGTTTACCCACAAATGGAGGCAACTTCATTTGTTTTCTCCCCTCTCCCTCTCTGCCTTTGCATTTTTCTGCTGTGTTCACTGTAATCGTGTGCCTTGTTCAGCACCCTCCCTGCTTCGCCGTTGGATGGGGTGAGTTCATATGCTTGTGATAAGGCACAGCCCAGCACCGCACAGGGGCTGTGAGCAGGAGGCGTCCCTGGCAGGCTAGAGTGACGTAACAGGCAGAATTGATGCTTTTGCTTTTGACCAGAGCTCTGTAGGTAGCTATGACAAGGGACTCAGCAGAGCACTTCTGTGTGCTCTCCCTCACCGTCCTTACCTCCTTGCAGGGAAGCCAAGCCATGGTCCTCCATCCCCACACTCACTTCTTGTGTCTTCCCTCTTCTCTAAGCCTCCTTCTGTTCCTGAGGCCCACATTCCAGAACTGAGCATGGAGGTGGAATGGGGTGTGTGTGTGTGGGGGGGGGGGATAGGTGTTAAGTTGGGTGCTGGTTATCAGAGTTGGGGGCAGGGGGTGGAAGTGGCAGGTCTTTCCTTGCTGGGCCAGCAGTGTCCTTTCTCTTGCATGTCCTTTCTTGTAGCACCAGAATTTAGAGAGCTAAGCCTCTGGTTAGGCTAAGATGAGAGGGAGCTCTGTTCCCAGAGCCAGGGGCTCCTGTAAGCAAGGAGGTGCCATCATGGTCACCCCACCTGGCTTTGTACCTGGGAGGGGGCTGCAGTCTTATTTAAAGGAAAGGCTGGGATCCTCAGAGGCATCTGTCCTTGGAGGACACAGAGGAGAGGAATTAGTCACTTCCTGCGTGCCCCGCCCCAGGGAGCCACCTTGCAGCTCTGTAGGCCAGGCCTCTAGGTCTTTCTGCTGGCCCCAGGGAAGTCCAGGCCCCTGACCTCTGCACTGATTTCTCCTGCTGGCCTCTCCAGACTCCCGATTCTGCCCCAAAAGGCCTGGTAGAGTGGAACCTTCGTCCTCTGTGCCCCTGCCCACCAGGATGCTAAGCTTGGGGGAGGGGAGGCACATATCTTGAGTCTCAAAAGAACTAGGTGAGGGCCTTCAAGAGTTGGGACAAGAGTTGCAGACACCCTTCAGAAGGACGCCCCAGTGCCCTCTGCCCCACTCCTGGTGTGCCGGGGCCAGCCCATCCCCATTCCTCCAGGCTTTAATCAGCCCCAGTGACTAAGTCCCAGATACTGACAGCTGGGCAGGGGTTGAGGATGAATCGGGAGCAGGGCGGGAGGAGAGGAAGCTGCCGCTGCCCCCAGTCCAGCCCCTAACCCTCCTCCGGGCTATGGGGGAAAAGGTAGCCTGTTGCCTCAGCGTCCAGGCCCTCCCAGCACCTCCCAGCAGGGAGAGTGCCAGCAGGTGGCTGCCTGGAGTATACAGTCTCCCTCTGGTAGGTGCCACAGGGGTGTGGAAGTCCCTTTCTGCCCTGTGCAATGAGCCCTGCAGTCCTAGCTTTGTGGCCTGGGGCCGAGTGTTCTTTCCACTTCTCTCCATAACATCCTCCCCTGGCTATACTCTGGGTAAGTAGAAGGGATGCAGGTTGAGGGTCAGAAGGCTGTGTTCAGACCCAAGTCTGCCTTTCGATTTCCTGAGGAGCTTTGGTGGGATGATCCCTGGACAGATTGGGGTTCTGTTTACTGTTAGACCTAGGACAGGTCTAGCGTCTCTGCCAGAGGCTTCCCACTGCCATTCCTACCCCTTCCCTGCCCTCTGACCTGGTCTCTCCCCACAGGCTGTATCTGGGAAATCCCATGGACCCTCCTGACTTGCTAAGTGTGGAACTGAGCACCTCCCGACCCACCCAGCACCTCGGAAGGGTGAAAAGTAAGAGCCTTCCCCGCTCCTTGGGGTCCCCAAGTTCATCAGCTGCCCAGGAAGGGGCACTCTCTTCTTAGTCCACCCTGAGCCAGTTGGCTCTGGGACAGTGGGTCTAGGCAGCAGGGGGACAGCTGTGTGCCTGGCTCCCGCTCGGCGTGGGGTGGAAGACGAGCAGCAGCTGTATCCGCCGAGGTGGGCATCCTCGGCTGGTCTTGTGTCAGCCCTGCTGCCTCAGCTCCCCCCCTCCCTCCTCCTCGTCCACACTGGCCGTGCTCAGTTCCTGGCTTTCTTCACTTCCCCCTAATCCTGCTTTCCTCTTTGGAGCCAAAACTACCCTGTGGGCTTCATTCGGCCAGGAGCCTCCTGCCATCTCCCGGATCCTGCGCCTGCCATTCCGGAACACAGTTTTTCCCATCCTGCTCGCCCCATTGCTTCCCATTTGCTGTTGGGTTTGTACATTCACTTGCTATTCACTGCTCTCTCTCCCCCCCACCGCCCCACCCCACCTTCCTCCCTCCCTCCAAACTCTGCCCTCACCTCTTGTCTGGCTTTGTCTTCCCAACCCTGTCCTCTGTCACTCTCCTCTCCTCTCCTCTCTGCATGGCCTTTCTTGCAGGGGAGCCTCCACCTCGCCCACCTCAGCCTGCCATCTTCACTCAGAGTAAGTGGGGCTGCACTGGATGCCTTGGCCCCTGCCCCCGCCCCCTCTCTCCTCTCATCCCTCCTCTCCTCCTGGAAGGTACAGAGCCCTGGCGGCTGGGCGGGAGGGGAAGCGGGTGTGTGCTGTGAGCTTTTGCTGCTGACCTGCCCCAGCAGGCTTCCTCCCCATGACCCCTGCCCTCCCACACCATAGCCTGGGCTTCTGGAGCAAATCCCGGTGCCTACTTCTCCTGCCTCTGGCAGTGCCTGGCCCCCTACCTCACTGCCTTTGGGGCCTGCAGAGGCTTCCATGGTGGCTGATCAAGAGTACTGTCTTCTCTAAGGATGCTCCTGTTTCTCTGTGTGGGGGGTGTTGCCTGCAGCCCCGTGCCAGCACTAATAGTGTGCACAGTGGGGGAGGGACAGGGGTCACTAACCAGGGCCCAGGGAGGGGCACTTGGAGTTTTGTGTTGATGGAAGGAGCTGCAGAGACAGGTGAGGGTGTGGTGGTTCCTGCTGCAGCTGAGGTGGAGGCAGGGGCTCACCACCAGGTCAGTGCCGACAGCATCCAGAGCAGGTTCTGGCTCCTTTGTGAATGGAGTTGGTACGCATTGGGAATCTTGGCTGCTGAAAGCTGACCTCTGGAGTAATTGGGATGGGGAGTTGGAGGGAGATACTTGACTTCCTTCTCCACTCTTGCCCTTCCCCATCCCCTTGCCCCACTGTCTGACATGACCTCCCTGTTGGGGTCTCCCCTTCCATCACAGAACCAACCTACGACCCTGTGAGTGAGGACCAAGACCCCCTGTCCAGCGACTTCAAGAGGCTGGGCCTGCGGAAGCCAGCCCTGCCCCGAGGGCTGTGGCTAACGAAGCCCTCAGCTCGGGTGCCGGGCACCAAGGCGGGCCCAGGCGCCAGCGGGGGTGAGGTCACGCTCATCGATTTTGGCGAGGAGCCCGTGGCCCCAGCCCCACAGCCCTGTGCGCCCTCCCTGGCACAGCTGGCCATGGATGCCTGTTCCTTGCTGGACAAGACCCCACCCCAGAGCCCCACACGAGCACTGCCCCGGCCCCTGCACCCCACACCTGTGGTGGATTGGGACGCGCGCCCACTGCCCCCGCCGCCCGCCTATGATGATGTAGCCCAAGACGAGGATGACTTTGAGGTCTGCTCTATCAACAGCACTCTGGTGGGCTCTGGGGGCTCTGAGGGGTCCAGCCAAGGCAAGACCAATTACGCCTTTGTGCCTGAGCAGGCACAGCTGCCCCTGCCCCTGGAGGACAACCTGTTCCTCCCACCCCAGGGTGGGAGCAAGCCGCCCAGCTCAGCCCAGACCGCAGAGATCTTCCAGGCGCTGCAACGGGAGTGCATGCGGCAGCTGCAGGTCCCGGCTGGCTCACTGGCCTCTTCACCCAGCCCAGTGGGCGATGACAAGCCTCAGGTGCCCCCCCGGGTGCCCATTCCCCCACGGCCCACCCGTCCACGTGGGGAGCTATCTCCAGCCCCTTCAGTTGAGGAGGAGATGGGGCGGTGGCCTGAACCTGCCTCTCCTCCCCGCGTTCCCCCTCGGGAGCCCCTGTCACCACAAGGCTCACGGACCCCAAGTCCCCTGGTGCCACCTGGCAGCTCCCCGCTGCCACTCCGGCTCTCAAGCTCACCTGGGAAGGCCATGCCCACCACCCAAAGCTTCGCCTCCGACCCCAAGTATGCCACACCCCAGGTGATACAGGCACCTGGCCCTCGGGCTGGTCCCTGCATCCTGCCCATCGTCCGTGATGGCAAGAAGATCAGCAACACCCACTACTACCTGCTGCCTGAGCGCCCACCCTACCTGGAGCGCTACCAGCGCTTCCTACGTGAGGCCCAGAGCCCTGAAGAGCCGGCCCCCTTGCCTGTGCCCCTCCTGCTGCCCCCACCCAGCACCCCAGCCCCTGCTGCCCCCACTGCCACTGTTCGACCGATGCCCCAGGCCGCCCCAGACCCCAAGGCCAACTTCTCCACCAACAACAGCAACCTAGGGGCTCGGCCACCATCCCTGAGGGCTGCTGCTCGGCTGCCACAGAGGGCCTGTGCTGGGGATGGGCCAGAGGCCGGACGTCCTGCAGACAAGATCCAGATGGTGAGTACAGGGCCTGGCTGTGGACGAGCACGGGCAGGGCTGGAGGGACCCAGAGGAATGGGCCCACGTGGCGCTGATGGGGGTGGGTGTGCCCAGCTGCAGGCCACGGTGCATGGGGTGACCACAGAGGAGTGCCAGGCTGCCCTGCAGAGCCACGGCTGGAGTGTGCAGAGGGCTGCCCAGTATCTGAAGGTACTACCACCACCACCTGCCCGCTCTGGCTTTCAGGGACCATGAAGGCTGGCTCTGCTGCACCCGTATCCCTCATCCTTTGGCTCTGGCTCTCTGCCCCTACTCTAGTCCGGTGCCCCTGGGCCCAGTGTGTCCCATGGCACCAATCTCTGCCCCTCAGGTGGAGCAGCTCTTTGGGCTGGGTCTGCGTCCACGGGGCGAGTGCCACAAAGTGCTGGAGATGTTCGACTGGAACCTGGAACAAGCCGGCTGCCACCTCCTGGGCACCTGTGGCCCTGCCCACCACAAGTGAGTGAGCAGCCCATACCCTGCCCCTCTTGCCTATCCCAGAAGGTCTGTACCTCGAACACCCCATGCTAGGAAAACACCCAGCACCCAGCAAGCCAGGAGAGGTTGGGAGACCCAGGGCTTCCCAGTTGGTGGGATGGACAACGGCCATGGATCTTGGGGAGCAGATGGCTTGGGTTGAAAACAGTTTCTCCTGAACGCATAGGTTTCAAAGTTTTAGCTACTTGGTTCAAATTAATTAATTTGTAAAAAGAGAACTGGAGCATCTCTGGTTGGAAAGGGGCTGCTTCCCATGTTCTTCCCACAGTGATCCTGAATGGGCCCCAAGGAACAGCATTTTAAACCCAGTTTAAACAAGTATCTCTCACCTCTCTATCTCATATTTCAATTCAAAGTATAATTTAAAATTTTAATGCCTTAAAGAAATGTCCAAATCCCACCACCACCTAATTCATTACTTCTTTTAAAGTAAGAAGTTTTAAAATGTGTATTTATAAATTGCATACAATAATATATAAATAATATATATGAGTAGATACATGAAAGATTGTTTAAGTTAAAAAATGGTGAATCATGGTCAGGCAGGTGAAGTTGCTGGTCGGGTATGGAGTTTAAGAATTGGCAGCCAAGGAGTCCGGCAGCCGTGGAGCCTGGCAGCCTGAGTCAACCTCCAGCCTGTGCTGCTCACTGACAGTGACCCTGAGCATGTTTCCTCATCTCAGTAGCTTGGGGTCCTCCTCTGTAAAGTGTTTCTGAATAATAAAGCCTCCTTAGAAGTGCTCAGAAGGACTGGCGAGAGATGCATCTGTCACTTGCCACACCAAGTGTCTGGCACACAGCACACAATCACTAAGTGTTAGATGGGTTCTCATGGCTAGTCTTCCAGATTTGCATCCAGATAAGCTGAGGCCTCATTGTCCCTCTTGCCCTTGGATACTCTAGTATACAGAAGTACTGCTTTCTTAGTTTATTAAAAATTTTTTAAAAACGGGCATCTCAGGATGATACGTTCCAAAATGAACTACCCGGAGCTACCAGTTTTCAACCAGTTTGCCTAGCGTCAGAAGACATGGACTCCTTTGTAGCCCTGTAGTGCCCACACACCATGGATATTCCTTCATCTGTGTGACCCCTGTTGATGGAGGGACTTTTTGGTTGTTTTCCATCCTTTAGGCGCTGAGACTTATCTGGAGAGCCAGAGGGTCTTCCCTGAAGGAATCACTTGGGCCTGTCCATCCAAGAAGAGTGGGGTGATGCCCCTGCCCAGACCTGGAGGACCTGCTGCTACCTGCTGCCCCAGTGGGCAGAGTGAGGCCCAAGCAGCAGGAGGCTGGGTGCCTACCTTGCCCATCCCTCTCTCACCGAGCACTGTCCTCGCACACTGCAGTGCAGCCTCTGGTGCCCCAGCCGTCGTGTGGGATGGGGCCCTGTGCAGGCAGGGCTGGGGGCTCTGCTGGCTCATCTGCCTCTAGCTGCAGTCTGTGGCTGTGACTGGAGTGGTGTCCCCAGGCCCTGCCCAGGGGACCAGACTAAAGGAAAGCCAGGCTTGACCTGGGCAGGAAGGGTGTGTTGGCTCCACAGAAGGGAGTACCAGCATCCTGGTGAGTCCTCCCCAGGGCGGAAACCTTCTCCAGAGCGTCCCTGGCGGGCAGTTAGGGTGTCGGACAGCATGTGGCTTATGGCCTGGCCATGGACATATTACGTTGGCTGGTGTTAATATCTTGTGCCTGGAAATAGCCCGAGGTGGCTCAGGAAGTGGAGTAAAGGTGCCAGGCTGTTCTCTGGCAGGGACCAGGGCCCAGAGCCCCAGGGTTGGAAGGAGACCAAGGGGGCAGCTGCCCTGGGGAGGATACCAGTGCTTCCTCTTTGACCCCAGCTCTTCCCCCTGTGCTATTATTCCATATTTTCCACCAGCCTCTGTCGCCAAAGTTGCTGCCCCAGCTATTGATACTGCTTCTTCCAGAATAATAAAGTTAGTTTCTATTTTATGTTACTTATTTGTACCTGCCTGTTTCTTTTTGCCTCTTGGTCAGCCTCTTGAGGCCCTTTGCAAAGCTCTCTAAGCCACCATCTGTGCAGGCCAGCAGGCCTGTAGCACCACCTGTAGGCAGAGGAAGGAAGTGCAGGTGTGGGAGACCTTGCTGGGCCTCTCCCAGAATCCATCCCCACTTAAGGTGTCACTGACTCTAGCATATCCCACGTTTTTGCTGTATAGATCTCCACAAGGCAGCATATGTACCAGGAGAGGGTGCAGTAGCACACTTTACAGGACCTAAGCCAGAAACTAGTGACAAAGACTTCATATATGTATAAGTATTTTAATTTTGTTTTTTCTGAAGAGTAGATTTACATGGCTCCAAATTCTAAAGATTTTACAACATGCAGTGAAAAGTCTTCCCCCTTCAGCTGTTCAATTTCCCTCCCTAGAGTTTGCCTTTAGGAGCTCTGGTAGCGTATTGCCTAAGGCACTTGACTGCTAACCAGAAGCCTGGCGGTTCAAACCCACCAGCCACTCCTCGGAAGGAATATGGGGCAATCTACTTCCGTAGTGATACTGCCTCGGAAACCCAAGGAGGGATCGCTCTGAGTCGGGTCCAACTGGACGGCACACAACAACAACAACAGAGTTTGCCTTTATCATTCTTCTTGTGTTGTCCTCATCAGACATTTTGAAGAGTTCACACCAGCACTGGAAGGGCTTTGCCATTCTTGTTTAGGGCTGCATGGATGTATGGATGTATCATAATATGTTCATTGTTGTTGGGTGCCATTGAGTCAATTCTGGCTCAGCAACTCCATGTGACAGAGCAGAACTGCCCCATAGGGTTTTTCTAGGCTGTAATCTTGGGGGCAAATCCCCAGATCTTTCTCCCACATCGTTGCTGGTGGGTTAAACCATCCTTTTGGTTAGCAGCCAGGCACTTAATCATTGTACCACCAGAGCTCTTTATGATCTTTTTACCAGGCCCCTTTTGATGAAGGGATATTTTGGTGGTTTCCAGTCCTTTGTAATTGCAGTCACTGCTTCAGTAAATCTTGCGTGAGGGTAATTTTTCACTTGCAGGATGAGCTCAAAAAGTGGAATTCTTGGGCCAAAGAGTGTACATACTATGGAGCCTACCCGGCTACCCTCTGTAGAGGCGACAGTTCTTGATTTCACACCCACCAGTGTGTGTGATCTTTGTTACCAACCATGTGTTGGGAAACTTTGTGATCTCTGTGAGTGTGGCAGGTGGAAAATGGTGTCTATGTGGGTTTTGTTTTTTTTCTTAAATAATAGTATTTTTTGGGAAAATTTATGCAGCAAATTTGGTTCCCATTTGATAGTTGCCATACGTATTACTCAGTGATACTACGTTTCTCACAGTGTATCAGCATTCTCTTTAGTTGTGTTCTGGTTGTGTCTCTAGTTTTAATTTGCATTTCTCATGAATGAATGAGCATTTGTAAAAAAAAAATATAAAAATATGCATAAATGTTTGCTAGGTCAGCAGGTTTTACATGTATAATTCAATGACAATTACATTCCTCACGTTGTGCATCCATTATCACTATTGTTTTCCAAATTGTTCCACCACCATTAGCAGAAACTGGGCCTCCCTAAGCAAGAGCTCTCCCCGCCCCCCCACTAATCAGCTTTAGTTTCTGCATATTTTCCTATTTCATGTTAGTGAGCTCATGCAGTCTTTGTTCTTTTGTGACTGACTGACTGAATGGACATTTTAAAAGTAATTTGACCCATTTGTATTCCTTTTCCTATGAGCTGCCTATTAATATCCTTGGCCCGTTTAAAAGAAGTTAGATTGTTGATCTGTTTCTTCCTGGTTTTTAGAAGCTTTTTATGTTTCGAGGAGATTAGCCCTTTGAACTTCACATATCATCTGAACTTTAGGAAAAGAAGTAAATTGTAAGAAAGTAGGTCTGATAGCTTGGGTTTATTAAAACAAAGGCTGTTGGTGGGGGGTGTTGGCAGCTGGACCTAGTCCCTCCTCCTTCCAGTGTCTGTGGCTAATCATACACACACACACACAGACATATATATACACACATGCACACACACACATACATACTCTGGTGGTATAGTGCCTAAGGCACTTGACTGCTAACCAGAAGGCTGGCTATTCAAACCCACCACCCACTCCTCGGAAGGAAGATGGGGGAATCTACTGCCAATAGAGATACTGCCTCAGAAACCCAAGGAAGGGTTGCTATGAGTCAGATCTGACTCAGTGGCCCGACTCAATGGCAGTGAGTGGTTTTGGTATTCTTTATTCTTTACTTTGGCATATGTATATATATATATATATATATAT